AACTGTAACTCGTGCGTGCCGTAGTGCACCGACTCGTGCGTGCGTGTGCACGACTCGTGGCGTGCGTGTGCACGTCTAGCTCGTGCGTGCGGCGCACGCTATTTCCCCCACTTCTTCCCCCCTCCCCCCCTTTGTTCCCCCCCCCTCTGTGCGTGCGTGGTGGGGCACGTACCGTGCCGCTGCCGCTGTGCACGTACTCGTGCGTGCGTGTGCACGTACTCGTGCGTGCGTGTGCACGTACTCGTGCGTGCGTGTGCACGTACTCGTGCGTGCGTGTGCACGTACTCGTGCGTGGGTGCGTGTGTACGTCCACGTGTATGGGTGCGTGTGCACGTACATGTGCGCACGTACAAGTGTGTGCCTGCGTGTGTGCGTGCGTGCATGCGTACGTGTGTGCTTGCGTCCATATGTGAAGTGGGTGTTTATTCTTTTGTGTGTGCTGAGGAGTTATCATATGTAATATGTTTATTGAGATTCACGGTGATACTAGTGGTGCATATGTGAAGTGGGTGTTGATTCTTTTGTGTGTGCTCAGGAGTTATGTAATATGTTTATTGAGATTATTAAAGCTACAAAGACTCAAGTTGCAATACAAATTATGTATATCTTTATTTCTAAAATGCAGCCATTTACTACCGACACTAGGCATTACTGCTGACAATAGCTCGCCTAAAGTTGGAAATTATGAAGCACATCTTAACAATTCTTCCACCGAGAGAAATCTTCTTTGCACTTAGCACTCTTACAGATTACATACTCGTTTACAGTTTTACATTGCAAATCTCGGTTGTATGTTGTATCACGATTCTCGCTACACACACGTGCTCGCAGTTGTGGCATCGACGATGGGAACACTCCTATTAAATGGAGCGTTAGCCTTACGTATTGTAGTGAAGTGTTTTTGGTGTGGAGTAAAGTTGCTAAAGTATTACTTAATGTACTGAAAGGTAAAAGTGGGTGTCGCGTCGCTGCTGTTTCTTGATTTACGCGAGTTTGCATTATGCGAATTTGCAATAGCGCGTATCACCTTAATAACAATACATTTACTTGAATAATAACAAGAACAACACTACAAGAATAACGCGACGCGGCAACTGCCAAGCGCGTGGTGAGCACGTAAAATAAATGTGATGTTATTCATTGTATCAAGCAACCCAGAAAATGTATAGACATGTACGTGTGCATTGGTGGCTTCGCTTCGCTCCCGCTGCTGATGCGCAGGTGAAGGCCGATACTTGCCGATATGAACTTCAACATTAAATTCAACTTCAACATTCGCATGATAGCTGGCGGATATTTTGACTTATTTGCGACATTTTCGCGATACCGATATTGAATTCTATATCGCGAGATCGGCCTTCACCTGCGCATACAGCAGCGGGAAGCGAAGCGAAGCCACCAATGCACACGTACATGTCTATACATTTTTCTGGTTTCTTGATACAAGGAATTAACATCACATTTATTTTTACGTGCTCACCACGCGCGCTGCAGTTGCCGCGTCCGCGTTTATTCTGTAGTGTTGTTCTTGTTATTATCAAGTAAATGTATTGTTATTAAGGTGATAGCGCGCTATTGCAAATTCGCAATAATGCAAACTCGGGCGTAAATCAAGAAACAGCAGCGACGCGACACGGCC